GCAATGGATCCCCGATTTCATTCAGCAAAATAAATAGCATTGTGTCTTCGTAACTATTTTATGTGTTCCTGGGAAGAGAGTTGTCAGCAAAAACTCAGAATTGGCGCATTCTTGAAAAATAAATTGTCGAGTTAAGTAAGTCACATATGTACCAACAGACTGTCTATGTCAGAAATCTAATTGTCAAGTCTGTTTGCTGTTTTTATTCGTATTGTTTTATAATCTTAAATTTGATGATGGTTCGGGTAGTTAGCTATCACAAAACGAATTTCAAGAGAAGAAGAGTGGTGACACTGCGTGAACCTCCGAATGTACTGAACCTATTTTATTGGCATGCTGTCTCAATGACGGATAATCTCATACCTGTTACATTCAGATTGTCAATATTATTTTTATTAGGTAGTGAGAATTAAATGTACATAGAACAACTAACTGTTGACAAAGAACTTGTTATACAACATCATACACGAAGACGTTATTACGATCATTAGCCACTAAAAGTTTATTGTTCGATCGGTCATACTCCACAGCTGTTAGACAGTTCAGTCCATCTTTCGTTGTCTATGGTGTTGACCATCTATGGAGATAACGACCACATTGTGAGATTGTGCTCCAGCTACATATACATTCCCATCATTGTCGACAGATATACCGAAGGGATTGGTCAGAGCCCTGCTGTCGGTAAATGTCCATAGTGAAGATACATCCTCGGACGAATGTCAGGTTTGTTTGTATTGTTTGTTCTAATTTGAGACTAATATCATCGAACTTTTTTGTTGAAGGAGGTACAATTATCTGAGCTTGTTTATTTCTCCTTTTCTGGATGGATACATTACATGCACTAGAACTCATAACAACTTCTCCAAGCTTCTTAATGGTACTGGTAAATTTCTGCAACGTTGTATCTTTCTTAAACGAAATATCAATGTGATGCATTTATTCGCTTTTGCTGATCGATTGGATATAAATCTCTTCTTTAATAATATCTTTTTCTATTTGTTTCATCGCAATGAATGATTGAAGATCTGAGACATATCGCTTTGTGTTTTCGATATTTACTTTGTACTCGAAAATCTCTTTTTCTTTCTGCATTAATGACGTCAGTAGTTGTCGAATTGTGCTTCTTTTTTTTCTTCCACCGCTTTAACTTCCTTCAATATCTTGTCCTGAAGTTTATCAAGATGATCATAAATTTTGTTTCGAAATTGTTGAATTTCCAATTCAACAACCTTTCTCTTCTCTGCAAGTGATGCCAAATTTTCCTAGCGATTTATACGGACTCTTTTGATATTCTCGGCGGTTTCTGACAAGGCGTGTTCCATTTCCTGGAACGCAGTTGAAGATTTGACATTGTGGATCATGTTCCTGATATCAGTTAAATCTTTACAGCCATTGTGATCCTCTACACATTTCCTGCAGCATGGACAATCGTGTTTTCTACAGAAAAGTTCGTATTTCTCGTTATGGTTGTTGCAAAACTGCGCTATTTGCAAAATATTTGCTGGTAGAATCATAAAATTATTCAGTAATTTTGATCGTTTCATGATTTCGTGAAATCTTAGAAAAGCTGTGATGTTCCTGACAATCTTCACAAAGTCCTTCATCACATTCGGAACACCAGACTACTGATGGTTTGGTAACGTTACGATGATTACAGACACCAAATACACTAAATTTACTGGCCATGCTTCTGTAATGTAAAATGAAGTAAATAGAAACTGTACTAATAAAGTTTCATCATTTTTGTTTTTGTTCATTCATTTTTGTTAACAGTCTTACTTCTTGAGTGTTTATCCGAAACTTTGCCTATTTCTGTTCAAATTGCTTGTATAGTTGTGACATTTTATTTCTAGAAATCAAATAATCTCGATACTAAAACGAACAAATTACAACTATTTACAGCAATGTTTTCATTTACACCATTGCTTAGATAGACGAACGGTGCAGTTTACCTTATTATTCTGATTAACGTTTTTGTCTTGGAGGTTTTCCCAAATCTTAATTGACATTCAGTGGCGGGTTAAACGGGGTCAAAAAAGGGAGGGGGGGGGGGGGGAGGGCGGCACTTTTCCCCTAAACTTATTCAAACATAATTTTATTTCTACTGAATTTGCTCATCTAGAGCTGAACTAAATAACCAGCTTGATTTAATATCTTAAACTGGTCGTTATTAACCCCAGCTTCAACATGCGTGGTTTATGACAAATTATCGGTGAGTGTGTAATATATTTGACATCTGTGTGCAATGTTTCTTATCAAAAGATTTTATGTAAACTACATGTACATATTAATTTGAATACGTCGAATATTTTTATTGGTTTCAATACAATATCATCCATAAAGATCGTTTAACAGGTGAAATCGTCTAATCGGGAAAGAAATTACTAATTGTAATCTGTGTTTTGAAAGAATGTGTATAAATACATGTGTAGTGACAAGAATGTTAATATCGATGTATTGAATATGTCTTCATAACAATATAATCACATGACCATTTCTAGTGAATTTATTATTTTTCGAAACTGTCCTTTTTTGTGATTTTATCCAACATCAAATTTTTTTTCCGATATCGTACAAGATTTTTTTAACCTGAATGTCGTATTCCTTTCCCCCCTATTTCAATGGAAACCAACAATTTGTTTTAAAAAAAAACTTGCAACCTCCCCATTACAAAAACAAAACGGATTGGATTGACATTATCTAAGAGAGAGAGAGAAAGAGAGAATACATTCAATAATAAAATCCTATTGTATTTTTATAAGACATACTTTTTAAGTTTATCTTGGACTAATACATTTATCTATTAGTCCAAGCATACAACATTTTTGCGCCTGTCCCAAGTCAGGAGCCTCTGGCCTTTGTTAGTCTTGTATGTTTTTTTTAATTTTAGTCCATTTATATGTTTTGGAGTTTAGTGTGACGTCCATTTTCACTGAACTAGTACACCATTTTATTAAGGGGCCAGCTGAGGACCACCTCTGGGTGCAGGATTTTCTCACTGGGTTGAAGACCCATTGGATGGCTTCGGCTGTTGTCAGTTCTTTGGTCGGGTTGTTGTCTCTTTGACATATTCCCCATTTCCATTCTCAATTTTAGTAATATTATAATATGTATATTTTTCAAGTTTCAATTACCATGTAGGAGGCTATGAATGGGTGACCATTTATGACGATATGGATGAGGTTTACAGATAAGAGAATAATGGGCAAAAATGTCAAAACGAATATTTAATTTTGGTTTCATGGACTCCGCCCCCACAGCCAGATATCATGGTTCTGGTTCCGCCCCTGCCGGCACTCCAGTAGGCAAAATAGTTTTATCAAGAAAAAACCAAGTCAAACAATAAATAGATTGATTTTTATAAGCCTTCAAACTTTCATTGTCCTGAGGAAATAAGATAAGGTAAAATGTACCCTAAGAAAAACCGTTGCTACGAAGTTGTTTTAGTTTTCATATCCACATTTGTCTTTGTATTTTATATTACAAATCCATCTTTATGACAACTGGATATTTTCTGTAGCCTGTTATTAGTTTTACAAATTGAGTGTTTTCGATGACTGATTAATAAATAAATGACATGATTATAGTTTTGATAAATCACAAAATTACCATGAAGGTTGAATATAACAAAACTTTCAGGTCCGCGAACATTGATTGGACGGACAATATGACGACAGAATAACAGGTAATGCGTAGTCTAATGACTAAATATGATAATATACGGGTAAATCAACTTATTAGTGTTTTTAAAATTCCAATTTAGATGAATATTTACATAAAATATAATTTACAATTCAAATCACATGTAAACATGTTGGAGAAACTATTTAGGCTATCGGCACATAACTTCCAAAAGTGAACCGTACTTAACGCAACACAATACAACGAATTTTATTACATTCCGTTATTTAGAAAATTCATGCAACATTGTACAATACTGTGCCAAAAAAAAAAAAAAAAACTAAAAAAAAAAAAAAAAAACACGCAACAGTGTCCAATTTTGTGCGGACCAAAACCACGAAAAAATACCAATCAGTGTCCAATACTGGGTGGACAAAATCCATGCAACAGTGCCTAAATCTGTGCGGACAAATATTAGAAAAACAAAAGTAGTAATATAACACAACTTTCTTTGAATCTATCAAGGGTCTGTCAAAAACAACAAAAACCTTAACCTAATACGTATAAACCTATCATCTCTAAAAATTTGTACAAGTGAACTAAATACTCTACAAATATTCTCAAACTCTTTGTTACATAAAAATCATATAAAACTTGGATGGAGAGTTGTCTCATTGGAACTCATACCACATCTTCCTATATCTATAAAAGTATATACTACATGACAAAGAAAACATGCTTAGATAATCTTTTATTGCAGGATATAGCCTTTTGACTAAATGACTTTAACAGACGGTAACCAAAACTTTAGTTTAATGTAGACAAATTTAGAGTATTTAATATGTAGACAAAACACGCATACAGTTGATATTTTAAAAGGACTTTTTTTCATCTATTGCTGTTCTAAAAATGTAACAAACACGACTAATTACTTTTAGAGGCTCATTAGGATACCTACTGTCCCATTTCAGTTCGCATGTAGAAGGTACCAGACAAACAACATAGAAAAGATATCAAAAAGACGATTCAGACCACAGTTTGCAAAAAAGGCAAATTGAAACATAATCAAACTCAAACACTAACTTTAACATGGACTCTACGTCGAATGTTTTTCAACATTCAGAAAGAAAAATAGGTAGAAACGACATAGGTATGATTCTGTGTAAGCGATGTCAAAGGCCAGCAACAAGGCGCAAAGAAACAAAAAGATACATTAAACTTATAAACACAAAAGGTGAAAAAGGCATGTATTGAACCAAAATTGTAGGGAACATTTACTTAAATAAATAAATTATCACGTATGGGAAGTAGCAAAAAACATTGTGCTACAGGTTTAACGTAAAATTGACAGTTAAAAACAAATAATGCCTCAGATTTACCTCTTTTGCTCTTCAAAATCAAAAGATCAAGAAGGAAGTTGATTAATCATGTGATCATAAACAGTATCTCCAATGGCGGTAAACTTAAACATGTTATAATTCGAATATTGTATATTTATTAATCTTACGGGTATCGTTCGTAAAGCTGTGGTTGCAAAGATGTATTTACATAAAGAGCGTCCAAGAAATTTATGATTTTCTGTAAGAACTAAATATCAAGGCCGTAACTACTATTGAGGAAAGTGAGGCAATTGCCTCACTAAAATTTCGACACTGATTTTTCTTTTCTTTTGTATTTGTTTATGGTAAATAAATACGAAATATAGTCATTTGTTTTTTCTGTCGCAACCTTAATTTCTATAACTTGTCATCTTTCCTTTTAAATTATTCTTTCCGGATATAACTCAGCATCTCAACGGGTGATGTTTCTCGCTTACATTAACCTAGTAACGGTTATCATCATGGATCTCTGGTTAAAACAGGCTCTTGCAGAAAAAGGAAAAGCGATACTGAAGGTGAGGAAGGAATAATTTTAGTAAACTAACTGATATGAAACCTGCATGGATTACTTTTTATCCATGTTTCTTTTACCTTAAAATTTGAAAGAACATCCCGTAATCTGACATTATTGTGGGACGGTAGGACCTTTAAAACGGTATTTTGTGTTTTCTAATTCGGGACTACGGAATTTCATGTCTTTTTATTCGGGATTTCAGGATCGGACCCCCGCCCACACATTTGAATTGACCTAAATTATTATGGTTCAGGTTTAACGGTTTTGTTTATTTACCTCTAAATGTATATTGTCAATGCAGAATAATGGAACAAGGGGTTGTTCTTATACAATAAACTTAATTATACAAGACGAAAGCTTGAATACAAATTCAATTCAAATTTAAAAGCTTTATTTGAAGTCGGCATGTTACATAATCTAACATACGAATACGAATACGAATACGAAAGTTTTATTTTGATTCGGTTCACATATAACAATACAAACATAAGCTCTTAAGAGCTTTTTACCGAATATAAGGTAACACAAACACAACATCAAAATTAAACACACACAAAACAGGAGCTTTACTATGATAAACGACAATTACATACATTTACACAATAAACCTACACAATACCGATATTAAAGGATAAAACACATAAAACACATATTTAATGCACAGTAAAGTACGGCAGAACTAAATTAATTATACATTATAAAAATGTATGAGCACGAACCTATAAGTAGCATTAAAGCAGCAGCTTAAACATTAAAGCACAGCAATTACAAAGTAAACACAAAAAAGACTGGAAGTACAATAAGCAGCACTTATACATGTACCTATTATTGATAAAAAAGTTGCATGCTCCTATGAATAACATAAAAATATACATATACCCTACTTCTATATATTTTTTTTTAACAAAAACAAAGTCTAAAATCTTGAAAAAGACCTGATGACTGCGGTTTACAACGCATCTTAAAAAATACTGATATCTGCTAAATTCAGATATTTTTTATAGAAAAGTATATTAGATATAATTTACTTGTCCTTATGATTTATAAAGATGCTTAAATAGCTGCTAATTATTCCAGTGGCTAATTCCTATCATTCAGTAAATATCCTCCAGAGTTAAATCAAGGCAAATATTTCAACAGGAAAGCTTTAAACTCCCTATTGTTTAAAGTTGATCGAATTATAAGTTACAACTGATAAATAACAACAGAACGAAGATTTCCACCCCTCATGGAAAGTTGACCCTGGATGGATTTGACTATTCGGTTTCGGTTGCCAAATATATATATATCCTGTCAAATATCCATAGCTTCCCCAAAGAATGTTAAGGTTAAGGATGTTCGCTACTCTGTTTCAAAATAATAAGCTTTTTAAAAGACTTTTCTAAAATGAAAGTTTATAAATAAAGGAACTAAAAAAGCAGAAAAAATGAAGGGTCCATGTGTTTGTTTTCGAGATATAAGCCATTGAAAATTTGGCGGGATATGTTTTCATAGTTTTAACATTGGCCACTTTTTTGTTTCAAATACTATGAAAAAATAACAAGGATTTTATAAGATTTTCAAATATGGCATGTTAAACTATATGTTATAAAATTATGAAAATAAAAGTAGGAGTTAGCGGGCAAAAGTTTTTAATGGCAATACAAGGATAAAACCAGAGAATTCCGAAAATCGGGCAATATTCAAAAACAAGAGTAGCAAACATCATTAAGGAGTTCTTGATGAGGTGAGTCAAGAAAAAATGGTTTCTGTTGCTCAATCTATGGTTTTCCTATGTTGTGTTTTGTATAATGTTGTGCTGTTGTATGTTTGTATTTTACGTTTTAGCCATGGCGTTGTCATTTTGTTATCGACTTATGATTTTGAATGTTCCTTTGATATCCTTCGCCTCTCTTTTTCAAACGCACGAAATTTCTAAACTGTTATTCAATTAACATTAAATGTTTATTGTTTCTACTGTAAGCAAACTAAAAAGTAAAATAACAAAAATACGGAACTCCGAGGAAAATTCAAAACGGAAAGTCCATAATTAAATGACAAAATCAAAAGCTTAAGGATGTTCGCTTCTCTTGTTTTTGAATTCTTGCCAGATATTCGGAATCCTCTGGTTTTATCCATGTAGTGCCATTAAAATTGTTTGCCCGCTTACCGCTACTTTTCTTTTCATAATATTATAACATAAAGTTTGAAAAGCCATATTTAAAAATCTTATAAAATCCTTGTTAATTTTTCATAGTTTTTGAAAGAGAAAAGGTACCAATGTTAAATGTAAGAAAAGTCTAGAGAGAATCATTTCCCGCCAAATTTTTAATGGCTTATATCTCGAAAACAAGCACATGGACCCTTAATTTTTTTCTGGTTTTTTGTTCCGTTATTGATATACTATCAATTTATAACAGTCTTTTAAAAAGCTTGTTATTTTGAAACAGAGTACTTACTTAGCGAACATCCTTAAACACATCAAACGAATAGATAACAACTGCCATATACCTGACTTTGTACATGGATTTTCACGAAAGACAAGAATACAAAAAAAAAAAAAAAACTATAGCACAATAAAACTTTGACGGGATACATAAGTACAGAGCCACGTCAAATGGATATTACCAAAAAGAGGACTAAACAGTAAAAGTGATAATTTTCAAAGACAAATAAAAGAATACTATAACACGTTATAAAGTTGATAAACAACGCCAGTACCTAGAATCTATACTTCAAGACCATCATGTATTACATGTGAAGTTGATACCGAATATTTATCAACAAGGTTTTGGTATCTTCCGATGAAATTGTTTAGAAAAGGACGAGACGCTCTTTGACATACCCCTGATTCATCAACTTTCTGCTCAGACACTGGTAACGTTTTACAAAAGTATGAGTAGCAGCTGCAAGCTCTTGAATACCAAAAGAAAGCATATTCTCCTTTCAACAGAAATGTCTTTGTGTTCATTCAACCATTAGACTAAGAGGACTTTGATTGAACATCCATCATAATATATTCACTCTATATAATTTATAAGGTTTCGTTTATATCTATTTTTGTGCACGAGTTACTAACTTGTTCGCGCGAGTTTCTTAACTTGTGCACATGAGTTACTAACTTGTTCGCGCGAGTTTCACAACTTGTGCACATGAGCTACTAACTTATATGCACGAGTTACTATTATTTACCTTTACATGTCATTATTGTACTAAGTTGGAATATCTAAAGTTTTGAATGAGTATACATGTGTTTAAATGTATCTTTTACTCCTTTAACTGGCCTTTTAAAAGGATTGAGTCTAAATAATTAAGTTTTATAAGGGTCAGGTCAACACCTTTCCTGAAAGATATCCCTCATAAAGCGGGAATTTTAGCAGGTCTGTGTTGTTCTTTTTTTTGATTGATTTAAAAGTTTCAATAAATTATTAAATTATATTGTAATAAATGATACATTAATTGGCCATGAGAATTTTGTAATTTCTTGGGATCGATCTTCTTGCCTGACAGGAACTGCATTATAGAATTGAGAATGGAAATGGGGAATGTGTGAAAGAGACAACAACTCGACCAAAGAGCAGAAAACGGCCGAAGGCCACCAATGGGACTCCAACACAGCGAGAAAATCCCGCACCCGGAGGCGTGCTTCAGCAGGCGCCTAAACAAGAATGTGTACTAGTTCAGTGATAATGGACGTCATACTAAACTCCGAAATATACAAATGAACTAAAATTAAAAATTAAAAATCATACAAGACTAACAGAGGCCGGAGGCTCCTTTCTTGGAACAGGAGCAAAAATGCGGCGGGGTTAAACATGTTTTGTGAGATCTCAACCCTCCCCTATACCTCTATCCAATATAGAGAAAAACAAACCATATGAATACCAGCAAGTACATACTTAGTGCTTATGATTTTTTTCTTTAGCAAACAGCATGTAATGTGAGCGATACTATAGTATCTAATATCTACAACTGTATGTTGCAATACGCGATATATATGTATGATTGCAATGTGACGACAAGCAAAGCTTTTAACTTAGCTTTTTGTGCAAAGATTCATATTTCAAAAGGAAAACGAGTTGCATAATCGATATCTGGTATACAGATGTCTTATTTTCTGAAGATCATTTTGTCTTTGACTCAATGATCATGGCTGAACTACCGCTTAAGATCTCTTGGTATATCCTATTCTGTTTTATATTTTTTGTTAAAATAACAGTGTTTAAACAAAATGTAATAGATCAACTATGCCCAACAACACAAATAATGCACAACTTTCTTCCTAAATACAGAAGTTTCATAATTTCTTGTTTTTGCACTATAGTATACTTAATCCACGAGTTTACGCACAATTTTCGTTGTGACAATGAGAATTTTTTGTGAAAAGGTGACAAAATAAAAAATGGAGATTGGTCAAGTTCTTGGTCGTTTGGGATAAATCACCATGGAACTGAACATCAAAGTTTTTTTTCTTTTTTCAGGTCAAAAGATATGCTTGGCCTCATTTTTCAAAGGGCTTCTTTTATTGGTGAGTATATATTCGATGTTACGAATGGTAGATGACTTAAAGGAATAGGTGATCTGTATATCCTGTATAATATGATAATAAAGTAATCAGGTATAATATAGATATAAGAAGATGTGGTATGAATGCCAATGAGACAACTCTCCATCCAAGTCACAATGTGTAAAAGTAAACAATTATAGGCCAAAGTACGTACTTCAACACGGAGCCTTGGCTCACACCGAACAGCTAGCTATAAATGGCCTCAAAAATGACTAATGTAAAACCATTCAAACAGGAAAACCAACGGTCTATTCTATATAAAAACGAAAAACGAGAAACACTTATGAACCACATCAACAAACGACAACCACTGAACATCAGGATCCTGACTTAAGACAGGTGCAAACAAATGCAGCGAGTCTGAACGTTTTATCTTGCGATAACCTTCACCCTAACATGAGACAGTTGTGTATACGCGTAAAACTTTAAGGACACACTATAAACATCATTTGAAAAAGGGTCAACTCATCAAAGTATGAACACTAACAGATTTTAGAGAAACACCTTTCTGGTATGGTTTCTTTGATTTATATCCTATTTTCCTGGTCAATTGCTCGATGTGAAAGTTCGCTAATTGATTCGTATCATAGAAACTATCTATATTATGTGTAAAGAATGATTGTTAGGTGTTCATGTTGGTTTGACAGGGTTTGTCTAACCTTAGCCTCATTTTCATGGTTCAATAGTCATTGTTAATTTTTTTTTTTTGGCAATTAGGTCCGTTTCTCAGAAACTTTAAGCAATTGATCAACCATATTTGAAATAAAAATTGTACAATGTTGAATCATACCAGTTTTGTCACCGTTAAATTTTTTTCTTAAATCTCTTTATTTCAAATGTATTGTACTCGATATAGATCTACAGAAATTGTTAGTATATATAATCAATAGAGTGCGGTCTTTTTTATATCATTCGCTGTTATACTATACTGTTGTGGTACTGAGGGTCGAGCTAACTTGAATGAGATAATTATCAAGGAAGAATCGGGCTGTAAATTTTAATGTACTATGTTCGGACTAGAACATATATATTCTCTACCCTAATAAATTGTTTCAATGTGGAAACGGTTCGTCTCCGTAAGTCGCAGCTTTCTAATTATTTGAATATTGAATATAAAACCCGTTTTAAAACGTGTATATTTATTAGATTAACGCGAGTTGCATCTATTTTGAAAGTTTTTGTACCTACGTCTATTTATGATCCAGACAAAAATTTCCATTCGTTGTTTATTTTATATCCTTATTTACGACATAGTTCCACCAATTTAATTTTGAATCCATATTGAATCATAGATTTGCCATGGTATTCTCTGTTTTCATTGGACTTATAGTTTCTTCTCTCTCTCCTTAAGGTAGTTCGAGATCCAATATTTCTCATTTTAAATGATTTTAAACGATAAAAAGATCTTCATGCAATTTGGTGAAAGATTTAGATTATCTATGATCTTTCCAGGAAATCGACTCTAAATATATACAAAGGCTGATTTCAAAGCTGAGAGCGGTATGCCCATGGTTAATAGTTTAGCGCAAAGAAGGACAATGATGGCAAATTCCATATATCATTGTCGATTACCTATAACACAGCTAAACTCCGAATGACATTGCAATTACACTTTTAAATGTGTTTTGCTGGGTCCCTGTTCTATTAATTTAGACACCACATCTCCCTTTATTCATAAGTGGGTCTAAACAACTAAATGAAAAACTAATATTTTCATGAAAAATAACTGTAAAAATGACACAAACATGTAGGTCTGATCATGAAGATCGAAGCTAATTTGTAACTTCTCTCCATACAGGTCCATGATTATCAGCTCAATACCTTACACATTTTACCAAATGAAAAGAAAATTTTCCTAAAAAAAAGCCCTGCAGGGCGCAGCTTGATACGACAGCAGAGATGGAACCCTTAACAGTTGGGGCAAGTATTGACACAAATCCAAGCTTGCTACAGCTCTGAATTTGAATTGTGATTAAATATTTGACACAGAATGAATATGGTCTAAGAACTTAAAAATTTGAAATTGGACCTTTTATGGTATAATTTCCAAAACCTAAAGATAACGTAACGTTTCGATTCAGAATATCAAAGAACCACAATAATCAGCGGTGTCTTCCTCCTATTCCCACTTTTTAAAAATCACTATTCCTTCTATTCCCACATGCAAATAACAATAGATGTTTTGATAAATAATTTGTTTTTATAACAATCAAGGTTAACTAAAAATTCACCTAAGATTTACCTGTATTTTTTTAAAGAAAACATATTTCTTACACTGTTTAAGTATAATATTATTTAAAAAAAAATTAATACACTTATTATTTGTAATACTTTAAAAATAGATAAATAGAAGTAAGATTAAATAATCATTGAATTTGTAAATTTAAAAAATTGTCATCCGAACAAATAAATTGATGATATATAATTTTATAACAAACTTTCCCATCTTGCAAGATTTCCATATACAACAAACGCAAGAAGAACCTAATAGTTTTACCAAAAACTGTTGCTGAAATCACAATAGATGGTATTTGGGCACGTACTACCAAAGGTGACCCATTCCTGCTAACAGACGACAACACAAGACGATAACACAGTTGGGCGTATGTTAATCTTCAGTACTCAAAATAATCTAACACACTTAGCAGCTGCAAATATCATATATGGTGATGGTACATTTTACTCCTGTCCGAGCCTATTCTTCCAACTTTACACATTTCACGCAATGGTTGATGGCGCAATGTATCCACTGGTACACAGTTTACTTCCAGCCAAGAACGAACTAGTATACACAAGGTTTCCTGACTTTACTCAAAGATGTATGCTACCAACTACAACTTCAGCCTACCACTATCTTCCTCGACTATGAAGTCGACATCCGAAAATTCATCAACTAGTACGCCGTGCCGCTGTCCTTTCACAAGTACCTTCTGCTGAGGTCGAAGATGTGTGGTTTAATGCCCTAACCGACATAGATCAGATTGATACTAACATCAACTACACGTCCTTAACAGACTATGTAACAACATACTGGGTCGAACAGAACACTCACCTTTGGGATCATTACACAGCACAGGGACCGCGGACTACACATCTAAAGGGATGGCACAGCAAGCTGAAGAAACATGTCCAGGACCCACATCCAAACATCTTTAAACTCATATATAAATCTAATGAAATATGAGGAAGCTTGCAAATCCCTGACCATGATCAGAATGCAGCCGATGGGAAGAGAGTGGCCCAAAAACGAAAGAATGTCGAAATCAATACATAGAGACTTTAAAGTTTTAATTTATTTTCTCAGAACTTTTATCATTTAATTTGTGATCACTTTTATTTATTGTAAAGTAATTCATTTGCAGCCCCCAGTATGTTGGAAGTAACGCATAAACGTAACGTTCTCGCTGCCGCTATTCATTGTAACGTCACCTAAGTGTGACGTATTGACATCAGAGTTTGAATAGAGATCCATACATGCTAGATGCCTTTGTTATTGTTAGCATTATAGTTGCCCGATTTACCCACTAAACGATAACAACAACCAGGAAGTCATAGCAGTAAAGTTTGGTGATGCAGCCTCCCACCTTCTTCACGTTGAATAGATTATTAAAATTTATAGACTTATATACAGTGAATTTCTAATGTGTGTGCTACAATGTATGATTTGTTTTAGTGCTGCGATAAAGTTTTCAAACACACAACCTACATGTTTGTAAGGATGGTTTAGGCTACAGTGTTTATAAAACCGTGCATTGGTTTCGGATAATGTTCATGATTACAATGACAATAGTTATATAAATATAAAAGAACAGAGTTCCAATGTCCCCCGCGTTTCTCATATTTATCTGTCCAAGGTACAAGGGCAATAACTAAAAAATATAATTTTTGTTTGTTCTATAATTATTTTATTCATATCTTAGAAATGAAGGCTTTAGCGCAAATGTAATGTGATTTCCATTATAATCAATATTTCCAAGGGGCATAACTCGTTAAAATATTTGATCAGAAATTATTTTCGAAAGTGTCAAAGACATTGCTGTTATAAACTTAAGATTAAAGTTTTTTAAAATTCTGGCAAGAATTGTTCACAATAGAGCGCTAATAATGCAATTTTTCATATAATTAATCGTTCCAAGGTGCAAAACTCAAAAATAATTGATCGGCTCTGATTTTCGAACTCGTCCAAGACATTGCTTATATAAACCTATGATATAAGTTTCATGAAATAATTCTTGCAAGAAATGTACACATGAGAGCACTAACGATACAATGTTCCACAAAATTAATGTGTCCAATGGTCATAACTCTTTTAAAAATAATTGATCGGCACTGATTTTTTAACTCGTCCATGACATTGCTGATAGAAACCTATGATATAAGTTTCATTTAAATCTGACACAGAGTTGTACACATGAGAGCGCTAACATGTTAGGACGCACGGACGCACAGACGGACGGACGGATGGACGGACGGACGGACGGAAGCCCAGTATTTCCTTGTCCCCCTCAAAGCGTTACGCGGGAGACAATAACCAAAATGAACCAACTGAGGAAAAGAAAAAAACATTTACATCTTTCGAGGAAAGAAAACAAGCACATTTTATAACTTTGAATATTTTTATATAAAAGTAGTATAAAAAAAGTCTTACACCTACGTTCCCATATTGTTTTCAGTCTTTGTATATTTTCTTCAACCGGGAAACTATAACTTCCGGTAACGGTTCCTGGTAGTCGTAAACAAAGCTGCATTCTACTTGTTTCCGTGGAATCGAATGTGGGAAATATATGGGATCCTCAATCCACTTTGTGTCATATGTTCCACACAACCATACAACCTTGACATTTCTCGTACCGATCTCCTTGAGTGAAGCGATCCATGGTCGACCAGGTTTATAATCTCTCTTGGTATATGGCCTCACAGCGACAATATTTCCTACCTTCAATAAGTCATCTTTGTAATTTATCTGAGCAGCCTCGTCATGATTTTCATCCATTGTTCTTTCTATTCTAAGGAATTTGGCCTGCTGTAGGATATTCTGGCAATCTTTTCTTTTAGAAGAATGTTCTGAAATATAAGCACCAACTATTTCCATTTTTGAAATTTCGATGTATAAAGCCATGGCAAAAAGGGCCTTTGAAATCAGGTATAATGTCTATGCTTAGAACAAACACTACACATCGCCATGTTAATATATTTGAAAAATGTCATTGAGATATATTTAGGAAAAAATATATCTTCTGGATTAGAACCTGACCCTTAATTTTATACATCCTTGAATTAATGGGGAAAGTTGTAATTTTTCAATACTCAGACTCAATTTGATCAAGTTAAAATTGTTTTTAATAATTATCAGTCATGTTATTCTATACACATACTCTCTTTAACGATAAAGCAATCTGAATTTGCATTGGGTAATATTTAGTTTACTATTGCATATCTTCCTTTTTTTAAAACTTTTATAAAGAATATAAATCAGTTGTTTTAAAAACAATTGTTAACGGTCTTTCTTCTCCGAAACTTGATTGATTGATTGATAAGTTGGTTGGTTGGTTGTTGAGATATTGATTGATTGATTGACTAATTAAACACATGGAAATAGGGTCTCTTGAAACAAGAGAAAAAAGAAACAAATGAGATATTGTACCCCGTAATGAACACATTGGACCGACACATGCATGCATCCATACATGCATGCACGCATGCATTGATTGATTGGTTGATTGGTTTGTTGGTTGGTTTGTTGACTAATTAAACACATGGGATAGGGTCTCTTGAAACAAGCGAAAAAGAAACAAATGAGGTCTTGGACCCCGTATTAAACAGATTAATTGATTGATTGGTTGGCTGGTTGATTGATTGATTGATTGATTGATTGATTAATTGATTGATTGATTGAAAGTTTGCATGGCACTCTCTCTATACCAGGCATCGGACTGAACGTCCATATTATGACCGAACGTGAATGCGTACTTATACATCCCGGACAGCCAAAGAACGGCCTGGATTTCCTAATGAATAAAATTCCTTACATCTTCTTTTTATAAATTTTCTCTTTTTTCTACGGGCACTCGGACTTCATGGTTTTTTTGTTTGTAGCGTGTGCATTTTGTTTGAACTTGTATGAAAAACTGAGTAACATTTTGTCTTGGAAGTTTCACTTTCTATATTTGGATATGGAATGTTTTATTCTAGATTTGGGTTCGCTCGCACGGTGGTTTTTGTGAAGTCACGTGACGCTCAAATATATATGTCTGGAGTTATATTAATATCTTTTCAAGGAAGACCGTTGAACAGAGCACATGTGTATTGATAAGAGTAACACGATAACTATTGATTTTATCTTTTATAGGTCATTGATGTCGGATCATGCATGCCTTTTTCGTACACATATTTACAGAGCACAAATTTGTATTTTAATGCATGTTTAGAAATTTGATTGTAGGATTTCACTACTTTTTACGAAGTTGGGAGCGATTTGTACGTCATTGATTTTAATTTCGCAATCAGGCGGACCGCACGTGTATTTATAGTGCTAACGGGAATATATTTTCTTGGTTTATTTTACAGGTAAACTATTGTCTAATCGCTGATCACGAGTCTTCATTCATTGCATGCACACAAAAATAATGCTGCTGTTATAGTACTGTACATAAGAAGGATTAGCACGGGACTGAAGGCGATTTTCTTTTCATAGAACTAAAAAAAAAAAAAAAAAACAGTTGGCAAAAAAGGGGGGGTGGTAGTAGTGGTAGACTTTGGTTGATAATTGAGATAAGATACATTTACAACATGATAGCTGCAGCGTTTTAAGTTTTAATTAGTAATTTGTTGATTTTACCATTTCAAGGGCATTGGCCCTGCAATAAAATGACGCGTGCCATTTTGACAAAAAACTTCCAATAACGCCATGTCGCGACAAACATTTTGGTTAAGATGTTTCGTCGATACCTATAACTCTTTCTGGGAAGAAGCGACATAAATCATCGTAAAAAATTAGAACATGACCTTGACCTTTGACCTGGACATAATTTTCTTTTTTTTTTAACAAGGACCTCAAATCAAAAGACCCTAGGTCTCTATCACTTATGGTTTACCAGTCACAATTATATTTCACTTATTTTAAATACAAAAGGGGAAATAACTCTCATATGGAGTCTCCGGATAGCTTCGGTCAAAATAAAACGTAGCATCCTGAGAATATAATGAGCATTTTGGAAAAAATAAATTTGTCGCTTTCTTTTACGATTGCGAAGGAGATCTCATAACAAGAAAAACAGTGTTTGGGGAGATAACTCTTACACAGAAAAGTGTTGGGTTAAACAGGGTCAGTTTCAAAAGCGTATAGACTGAATGATATTATATACCAAAAAACTAAGCGATCTCTTTTGAAATAAAAATACAGCATATAAAAAAAATTTGGCAGAAGAAAAAAAAAATAATCAGAACAAAACCAATAGGTCTTTCCACGGAAAAGTGGAAAGACCTAATTACTTACCAGTGGTAGTGGACAATCCGTGCTCGTTTATTATGTCAGGATTTATTCCCTTTTCACTACTCAGTCTTTCATTTGAAATCTATAAATAAATGATAAATATTTTAACATTGTTATGCATACATATTCTTATATTTGTTTATTATTATCATTTATAGTTCCTGATACTGTTTTGTTTATTTTAACAATATCAATAAAATCAAGGATGTAAGAGAAAAGTTATACTTTCCTATGTATTTTATATTCAATTACCAACGAGCCCGTATCAGGTGCGTTCGACTCCTATCTTAATTGACGAGGATGGGCAGCTTTCCTGCTGCAGGTCGGTGGTTCTCCCTGGGAACTCCGACTTTCTTCACCAGTAATAACTGTCCACCATGCTATTGACAAGACTTCTAAAAGTTGCGTTAAACACAAACAAATCAATCAATCAACCAACGAGCGCGGTTCGTTTGCTACAATCGTCTCTTCACTTATAAAAATCATTTTCATTGAAAAAAACGCACCTTTGTTTTGCAGAAGATCAGAAAAAAAAATAATTGAACAACCATTGTTAAGAGAAAGATTGTCTTTTTATAATCAATTAAAAAAAAAGGAAATTTGGACACTGGTGCGATATATTTCTACAATCGACTGTGATTCAAATATTTTAACTTCGCTATTTAAAAATAAAACAAAATTTGTTTTTAAGTACATGTATGTCGTATGGAACTGGATGAATTTGTTTAGTTAGCTACCTTTTGGTTAATTGGTCCTGTATTTTCAACCTCTATTAAAACGTTAACTATATCCTCCTTCATCTCTCCATCATAGTTTTCTTCTTTGTTCATTTCGCTATCTGGAGAGAAAAAAACCCAAGACATTAATAAAATTTCCAATAATAAAATCAGTCTATATTAATTTTTTTTTATTCATCAATCTGAAAGCATTTTAATTGTAAAGACATATTGTTCTCTGGGGAAGTTTTGAACTCTATATTTTCCTTTTTGGAGTGACATTCACATTTCTTTAATGTCTGCTTCTCAATAGGCTTTGTTCGTGACCCCTCCCCCCTAACCCGAATCGATTCAATTATTGTATTTCTTCATTTTGATCTTGATACTGTTAAAATGAAATATTGATGAAATATTGATTGGTGGCTGCATAACGGCCAGTGGCAAATATTATAGCTTGAACGATTACACATTGATGAGATGTGAGCACATCCAGTTTTTGTGCTAGACCAACGGAATAAGTCGGATTTTAAATGGGTTATCTCACAAAGTTTCAGTATTCGAATACTCAAAGATGTACAAGAAAATACAACAAAAATCTGTCCATAAAGGGTAGATAACTATATAAATCACCTACAACTCAAACACAGAGTCAAGTTAAACACTACCATATATAGAAAACAATAGCAAACAATGCTAGCAAATGTCAAGCAACAAACAAAAAGGGTAGATAACTCTATAAATACTAACAACTCAAACACAGAATCAAGTGAAAAACTACCATAGAAAACAATAGCAAACAATGGTAGAAAATGTCAAGCAACAATAAACATAAAGGGCAGATAACTCTATAAATCACCAACAACTCAAACACAGAGTCAAGTGAAACACTATAATAGAAAACCATAGCAAACAATGCTAGCAAATGTCAAGCAACAAACAAACAGTAATACAAAAAAATATATTAGTAGACATATTTTCCAGCTCTCTAATATTTGCCACTTCTTTTAAGAGCAATTGTTTTAATAGTACCGGAAAACAAGATTTTTTGTTTCAAGCTCAAATAAATTTGAACAGAATTTTTAACAGTAAAACAAAAGAAACACTTCAATCTTGTTGCGGATCTTTCATGACTTTTTCAAACTAGGAACAAGCGAATTTATAATATATTCAATAGGGCACTACTTAAATCTCTCATTACCGACCGTGCGAGACTCTCACGAGTAGTCAAAGTCGTAAAACACTCCCTCTGTAGTAAATCTCTTATTTCAGGGGTACTGACGCTAATGGATTTACCTGTTTGACATTGATTGCCTTCTTTCCCTTGTCCTCGAAGAGACTCAATATCAGTATTTACATTAGTGGTACTGCTGTCACTAGCCTCGTATATCGCTCCGTGAATTTCTGACTCGTTTACATTTCCATATGATTCTATAATTTGGAATGGTAGTGACCTATGTCCATCTTCAGTTATATAAACGTCTTCCTGAACTTCTAGTGATCTTCGCATATTTTCTGCTTTATTTTCGTCTGTTTGTTGTGCAACTTCATGAAATATTTTTGCACAAACTGTGTCTTGCTTTTGAGTCTTCTGAGTTGTACTGATTTCATCTTCGTCAATTAAGCTCTTATTTTTTTTTGAGGCAGTCACATAAACCTTGTTTTGAATTTCTGGAGATCTTCGTTCATTTTCCGTTTTATTTTCGTCTGTTTGTTGTGCAACTTCATGAAATATTTTTGCACATATGTTTTTATGGTTATGAGACTTCTGTGACGCTTTGTAATTGCTTCGACAGTGGTTGTTGTTCATAAAATCAGACTGTTGGTACTGTGGACAGATTGATGCTAGTGACTTCTCTTTTTCAGATTCTGTAAAAAGTATAAGGCATACTATTCACAACATGAATTAAATACATTTTCACATAAAGATAAAATCAATCACACATATCAATAATATGGTAGCCGGAAATCGGGAAAACAAAAACGCGAAATCGTGAGAGCGAAAATCAAATTCTTTTCGCGATTTCGCTTTCTGCAATAACGCCTTTGTCATTCACTGCCCACTACTATCAAACTTTCTCGTTTCTTCGATCTGATTGGGTACATGTAATAATATCAACTTGAAGAGAACCTGACTAGATAATATCATGTTTAAGGACAAAGATCGGCAATGAATTTCGAACTCATCAAAAACATTGCTGAAATAAACCTATGATAGAAGTTTCATAAAAATCTGGCAAGAATTGTACACATGAGAACCCTAAAGATGCAATTTTCCATATAATTAATGTTTCCAAGGGGCATAACTCTTTTTAAAATAATTGATCGATCGGCACTGGTTTTCGAACTCAAAGACATTGCTGATTTAAACCTATGATATAAGTTTCATAAAAATCCGGCAAGAATAAAACACAATAGAGCTCTAACAATGCAATTTTCCATATAAATAAAGTTTCCAAGGGCCATAACTCTTTTAAAAATAATTGATGGGCACTGATTTTCGAACTCGTCCAAACATTGTTGATATAAACCGATGATATAAGTTTCATAAAAATCTGGCAAGAATTGTACACGTGAGAGCGCTAACAAGACCGGACGGACGAACGGACGGACGAACGGACGGACGGACGGACAGACGGACGCCCGGTATTTTTATGTCCTTCACAACGCGTTGTGCGGGGGACAAAAAGATACCTACTTAATAAAAATATTTATCTTTAATTTTTGAACCTGCACTGACAGACTTTTAAATTGTTATAATCTCGAAAAGACAATATTTTATATTGAATGTTCAAGTGACAAGAGCAGACCGGTGTACCCGTATACTTAAATGTAAAAAATAAGTATATTTCTGGAAATTGTAAAATGCTAAGGACTTCGTGGAACACTCCGAAAATCGGTGACCGAAAGATCTTTAGATTTTGTATGTACATGATTTTTTCAATTTTTTTTTACCAATATGCAGCAAAGATTACCATTTTTCATATTTCAGATTCACATGCTTTAATGCAATTATCTAAATAAATACTGAACATAAAGCATCGTGTATCTGCATTATATTTCTAATAACACAGCTTACCAAATAATTAATAGTTCACCAAATAATTTCTTTAAAATGTACAATTGTTGTATAGAAATAACTTTTGATCAATTTCGTCACCCGCATAATTTTTTTATTGATTTTTTGGACTTTTTCATAAGAACTTCAAAACAGGAGCTTATACCAAAGCATTCTTTAAACTTCAAATGCTTTTTTATGACTTTCTTCCCAACTTACCTGATTTGGTTGTTCCTTTTTGGTCGGATCAGTTATCGGACTAGCTATATCTGAGAAATTCGAAACAAACGAGTTGTTTTTCAACAGTATAGACGAAGTGGGAGATACGTCTGCTAATTACAAGAAAAAATTTTCATAAATATCGAACGCAATTTATTCAGCTCAGAGATAAAAATAGATACTCACATGTAGAAATCGTTGACTAATTATTTTCAATTAACTGTCACGTGTGAGGGGTTTACGACATAAAGACAGTTGGCATTTTAAAATACCAATTTCATAATGCACAATTACATTTACCATCCCGAGTAGAAAAATATCATATCACATCTTAACCTATGGTAAAATGATGTACAATGTATGTATAATATTGTTTTCTTTCTTCAATCAATCTGTTAATAGATGTTTTCCCATTGATCAATTGATTGGTAGTTGAAGTGCTTTTATTTTAACGATTTTTAAATCCTTTGTAATAGTTATACACCGAAGGATAGGTGTGTCTGTAGTAGTTATCCCATGAGGACGCGGTGTGTCAGTGTAAGATCACTCCGATGGCCGGAGGCCAGAGGGTGATCTTGCACTGACACACCAAGTCCGAATGGGATAACTATTTTACATCCCAGCTGTTCTAGATTAGATAAAAACCCATTTACGCTTCATAAAATCTAGTTTAGAACGCCACACAATAATTATAGTATACTTTATATATATTACTATATAGTATATACCCTTTATGATCCCCGAACACAATGTATAAATATGTTAAATTAACAGAGAGTTTCTATCCTGTCGTCCTGGTGTAGGCCTAGGGGTCTATATGCTAAAGGTCTCGAGTTCGATTCCCAGCATAGATACTTGATTTTTTTCTACACAAATTTTGATAGTATTACTAAGTCTTTTCCGTATTAATATTTCTAAGTTTTATTGTGGATTTTACATTCCTGCCAAAATGTTACAGAACAAAGGAAAGCATGCAGAACAAGGAAACTCAAGCTAGGTACTACTGATCTGGCAGGGGTGATCCGGCTCAGATCTCCCCTGGTAGAACAAATGAGCTGGAATGTAAGGGCTGTCGGGGTTTCTTATCAAGACACGCCGTATCCCGAAGTGTATAACTAACTTACACCCAATGATTAACCCTATATTTGTTAACATTGATTATTAAATGAAAAAGAACGGATAGCATATTTATTGACAAAATCGAACCATGATTTATAAGAAAAACATTTTTTTTTTACATGAAACCCCACTAGTAACCTTACTTTGACTATGTTATTTCAAACGTTGACAAGTGAGTAGATTATACAAATGTCAAGGTTGTTATTTTGCATATTCCCGTTAAATCCTGGTGCTAATATGAATCAGCAGTTCGTGCATTCTTATCACAAAAAAAAAAAAAAAATACATCATGCTCCTTGTATGCAGTTGTCAATATGGACGGGTATAAGACGGACGACATTTTGAGTCAAGCGTTGGATTTGGTAAAAGAGACTAAAGATAAAGGCAATATTATAACTCAAAGTACTTACCTGTATCAGTTTAATGAAGGTAATCATAAATGTATTTTTATGTTTTATGTCCCCCTTCTCGAGAATAAACAAACATTCATATTCGGACACACTGAGGGATAGGTGTGTCTGGATTAGAAACCTGACGACCGGGATGCAGAATAGAGACATATGACTGGGATCAAAAATGTTACCTTCAAGCAAGGAGTATTAAGGGAGCATTCAAAGGGGGGGAGGGGGGTATGGTTTTTTGTCGGAGTCAGAAATTTTTTTCCTCGCAAATCGCGAACAATTTTATTTAGTTTTTCAACGCTATCAATCAAATTATTTTTCCCTTAAAGGATTTTTTTTAATTCAAAATAGATGCTTAATATTTTTTTCGCTATTGGAATTTCCTAAAATGTGTTTTTTAATATCTTGAAACAACTTGTAGTGAACAATATTTCTTATGTTCATGCTATTTAAAAAATAATCAATTTCTATTGTAATGAATAACAATGAACTGTGTTTTCGGGATGTAGAAGCAGGGGTTTCCAGAAGCCCCGCTCGTCACACCCTGTGGTCAAAATCCATTGTTATTCGTAACAATAGATCTATTCTATTTACACTTGTTTCAGAAATAGAAACTATGAAGTATAACAATAGAACTGGGGTGTTGACACAAAACTGATTTATATTGGACAAATCAGTGCAGTTACAGTTCAACATTATTTACATACCGTTAACTTTAGTTGCTGCCACATGGCTGAATATTTTACATATTTTACGGTCAAATGTCACACTGGCAAAGTGATATATATTGTTAAGGGAAAGTGTTGATTGGTTACATGATAAAATATTTTGTAATTTCATTGTGAGAAAACATCGTTTCTAAAGGTCATTCAAGCCATAAACAATTTCATTCACCAATTTACAGTGAAGATTAAAATCTTTTGCCTTCTCGGTAAAAATCTTATCTACATTCATTTATATAACTTAATATTTTTTTTTTATCTTTTAAAATAATGCGCTATATTTCCCACCGTCCGTGATAGACTAGCTATCATTGAACTTTTTTTGAAGTTTTTGCTGTTGTGACTTTCCCTATGCCACATGTTGTGGGACTGCTAGTAGATTGTTTTATTATAAGTTTTCTTCTCATCTCTATAATTTTGGTTTTAATTATTTGAAATCTTTAGCATATGCATTTAATCGTATTTAACTTTCTGTCGATTGTTTGATTCTAATTATCCCGCATCCCATATAAACGTATGGAGTGTTTTGTGACTGTTTTGTGTCATATTACATAGACCATATTATACCATAAATACATGCATGCACAGTGTATTCGAAGATTTCATAGAGCCTGATTAATAATATGGACACTCGTCCATCGAACGTTATTGATCTTGGATCACTGGTTTATATATTACATGTGTTGCTACGTTCCTGCTTCATTGGTAGTACTTTTATTCATTTGCAATGTAATCATACTAACACAAAGGAAATGAATATACATAAACTTTTAAAATTAAATTTTCAACCAGATCAGCTTCGCGTGAGAGAAGTGCTGGATTCACGTAGCAACTGTTATTCAATGTGACTGGGGAATAGATATATGGTTACCATTGGTCTTCCTCCGACCGGCAGTAAAGCCCTCACCAAAAAGGGGCGTCCGTTTTGGTTGTGCGGGATGAACAAGTTTGCAGTCACGTCCGGTCAGAATGGGGAAGTTAAATCCGATGCGTCGTGTAAAGAGAGTGCAACGCTCTTTGCACTTTAAGAATCCTTGCAACAACTCTTTGAGGGGTCCATAGGTGGCCTGTTGCCATGGTAAATTTCTGTCCCTATCCAATATACCCCCATTTTCCCGTGACAGTCCAAATTTCCCCGACCTTCTCCCCAGAAGGCCTCCATTACAGGACCAACCTACCAATTGTATTTATTGTAAATTAGTGTTCGTCCTGAACATTCATGAAATATTTGCCACTGGATATTAAGGAACCAACAATCAAACAATCAAAGGCAAACACTAAGTCTTGCAGACATAATTTTTTTTCAATAATAAATCGTTTGGCTGTGACGTGTTCATGTGCATAACATGTAAAAATAAGTAAAGGAGGAGATGTAGTATTAGGCAAAATTGGAGGTATTTTGATCAGCAATGTGGGAAGTGTATTGATAGACAAAATGCATTTTTTAATAGGCAAAGAGGTGTATGTAAACAACGGAAATGGAGAGGTGTTAAAATTGGCAAGATGGTTATTCTATAAAATTAATAGGAAAATTGGGAGTTGTAAAAATAGGCAAAAAGGGTTGTGTATAATTACACAAAAAGGTTGTTGTATAAATAGACAAAAGGGGACGTGTGTGTTCACGTTTAACATCACAACATTTTCTGCATGTACCGAGTCCTGATCTTATCTGAACCATGTGTTTTTCTGCTTCGACGTCTGTGTTTTTCTGTACCCCCCTTTTTTGACGATCAATGCTTTTGAATGGGGACATGTGGTTGGAACCTCCCTTTATCCTGGGTAGGACCCCCTTTTAATAATGGCTGGATCGGCCCCTGCCATACATGTGGGTAAATTAAGGATGTTTCTTGAAAACATCCAAAGCATGCAGTGAAGTATATTTTATATAATTATTTATATCTTTCATCTTATCAATTTACAACTAATACTATAAATCAGCAGAAGCTTGATACAATGTGTTTGAATAATCTTATGAATATAACGGATATATTGTTAGAAAATGCATCGCTAGCCTTTGTTTTATCAGTTATTTATGTTTTAAAATGTATAACACACGTGTACTAAGATAAAATTCATCATGTACTTACCGCTCACAAAACGTCCAAATATTTTGTACTCTGAGATCTTCAGATCTAACCATATAACAAACTTAGACAAATCAAACGGAGGTAATGCAGATATAAGACGAGTGAAATCTTCTTGTGCCGAATAAAAGTTTGTCGTCATTTTGTTGATATGTTTAGTATTTTTACTTTCAACAGTTGCAGTGAGAAACTCGTGACGTAGACGATCACTATTTATAGATTTTATATTTCTTGAACAGTAATTTTTTTCCGTTCTATGGTAAAACCTTTATTAATATAAATAGATTATTGGATTGATCGATTGATTTAATTGATTAACGTTCAGTTGCAAATATTTCACGAATAATCGAAAAGAATATTAACAATAATATATAAATAGCACATAGCTGAGAGGGTGATAGAGCAGATTGTTTACATTTATTACCTCCTTTTTTCGTACCGTTTTTTTTTAATTATTCTTTTATGATTGGATTGCTATATCATTTACGTATGCAAAAGACTTATCAAAAGAAGGTTTGACGATGGGCTTTTTTAGAAGCTATCTTCATTGCAACACGTTTGACTTTTGAAATTTTGGTGTTGAAATTGATAATATTGTAACATAAATACAATGTCGAAAAAATACGATACATGTATACTGGGTAAAATATATGATATTACAAAGTTATTGAATTTCGAAGTGGCATAAAAGGTCGCAGGGTAATCGAACAAGTAGCTAGTCGAGGAGATGCATTATGGAAAAATTCTCTTAGCACATGTAGCTGGTCAATTAGTGAATTTATTGGGCAGATTTGCTATGAATACGTAACTGCTTATTATGTGCGAGTTGGTTTTCCATACCAATAGCACACATCGTTATGTAAGTTGGTGAATGTAAAAAAACGTTTTGGTGGATATCCTTTTTCTAAATGTCAAAATCCATCATTGTTTGTAATAGTTTTGGTGTTTGTTTTCCTTTTAAACTATGATCTAAAAGTATTCAAATTTCTATTAACAGTGCCGAAACCCATTTTCGGTCTAATTGCTATTATCATACTATAGGAACAAGAATGTGTTGTTTTTACATTAAGTTCAGTCAAAATTTGATAAAAAAAATACACTTACCTACAACATATTGATTATTGATATCTATATTACATTGTTGGAATTTTAAACATTAACCATTGTAAATCATAAAACACCGGTATTAAACATGGAAATGAACTTGAGAATAATTTATACATCAAAAGATGATAAAGGTAGGTGACCAGTTTATATTTACATTAAGTTGATCATATTCAGCAATAGTGATAAAGATCACACATACAATTACAGAGTTTTGAATTAATTTCCTTGAAACAAAGGAAAAATTAAAATATGTACTTCAACATATAAATCTTAAATAACATTTTTGTACTCATAAGAATAAATGGAAAGTTTGTCAAATCATCGATCCCGAGATGATAACCCGATTTCAAGACATTTATCCCAGTTTACGAATCTGAGGGGTAAGCCTATCCCACAAGCGACATCCTTTTTTTCTATGCATAAATTTTAATACGCAGTCCCGTTAAGTTTGGTATCCTTAAATTAAATCTGATGAATGGAGCAACAGTATCATGCTATTTGAACTCTAAGAATCCGTGCAACCATTTAAAAGGATTATATTTTGTAAGGTAAAATCTAACACACCCTTCATTTCAAGAGACAGTCCAATATATCACGCGATTCCTATTGAACGACCTCCTTATTAGAGAAACTATAAATTTGACAGGCATAACATATAAGCTGGACTCTCAGCAAACAAAAATCAATTGCTTAATCGAATGTATCAAAGCTAAACCGTTTTGTAAAATTGAGAATGGAAATGGGGAATATGTCAAAGAGACAACAACCCGACCAAAGAGTAGATAACAGCCTGCATATTTATTTTATAAGATATTAACCTCGAATCGCAATATAGAGTTTTTGCGGCAATTGAAAGTAGAGATACGAAAAAAACTCTAATAGGTCGAGATTGTAAAATTTCACGAATACTTAAGATCAAGGATTATACAGACATAGGGAATATCGATAAAATAAGCAATTAACAACTTATTTTAGTCCTAATTATAACATAATACTAAGTAAAATGTCATATTAAACTCAGCTTTTGTGGTAAAAAGAGAAATAACATATAATTTTGTAGTTAAAACATTTTTTCAGCAAATGTTTAGTATATTTGCAATCGGACAATTAAAGCATATTTCATAAAATTTTTATGACAACAGTGAACATAAAAGAAATATAATGAACTTGATGTGCATATATATATATATATATATATATACAAGTCTAAATTGAAAACAACGTTCAAACCTATGATTGCGTTGTATAAAAACCGCAATTTTTATACGTGTGCATGCACAACAAATTTCTTGTTAGAGAGGTCTAAATACAGCACAAACAACATTTTCCAAAAGACCAAAAAAGCAAAAAAGTATATTTTAACAAAACGCATTTGACTAACAGGTCGAACAGCAAATGTTCTTAAACCCTGCTGACTGCCATTGGCGATTGCCAAATAAACGGATCACCGATGTAATAAATGGATCTTAATTATAAATTTAATACTAAACAGAAAACAATAAACTTGCGGAAAAGATGGTATACCGTAAACAAAAGGTGCAAATGTTTTTGTACACCATACAATTTACCTCAATTTAGGATAGACTCTTGAATTTTGAGGAGTCAAAATAGGATGAACGTATCATATAAACCCGAAGGCAAATATAATATAAGCCCAAACGAAAAAATATAAACAAGTCTAAATTGAAAACAACATTCAAACCTATATATATAACAATTATTCTTCCAAAAACATAGTTTGTTTTGCGAGTCCCCTCATTTTTAGCTCACCTGACCCTTTACAAGTGAGCTTTCCTCATCACTTGGCGTCCGTCGTCCGTCGTCGTCGTCGTCCGTTAACTTTTACAAAAATCTTCTCCTCTGAAACTACTGGGCCAAATTAAACCAAACTTGGCCTAAATCATCCTTAGGGTACCTAATTTAAAGAATATATCCGATGACACCGCCCATTAACCAAGATGGCCACCATAGCTAAAAATAGAACATGGGGGTAAAATGCAGTTCGGCTAATATCTCTGAAACTAAAGCATTTAGAGCAAAAAATGTTCATCAGGTCAAGATATATCTGCCCTGAAATTTTCAGACGCATCAAACAACCCGTTCTTTGGTTGCTGCTCCTAAATTGGTAATTTTAAGGAAATTTTGCAGTTTTTGGTTATTATCTTGAATATTATAATAGAGATAAACTGTAAACCGCAAAAATGTTCAGCAAAGTAAGTTCTACAAATAAGTCATCATGAACAAAATTGTCAATTGACCCCTTCAGAAGTTATTGCCTTTAAAGTCAATTTTTCGCAATTTTTCGTAAATTTTTGTAATCTTTTACAAAAATCTTTTCTTCTTAATCTACTAGGGCAAATAGAATTAAACTTAGCCACAATATTTAATAGGGTATCTTGATATAAAAATGTATCCGATGATCCTGTCATCCAACCAACATGGTCGCCATGGCTGAAAATAGAACATAGGGGTTTACTATAGAAGTCTAAATGAACAATTGTAAAAACAAACAATTTCAAATGGTCACAACTTGAAAACTAATTTAAATAATGTTAAGGGATCTTCAGTAACTATTGTAAGACTACAATGGGATGACCTGCTTTTAATTTAACTACTGGGCCAAATTATACCAAACTTTGCCTCAATCATTATTAGGGTATCTAATACTATTTATTATGATTTTAACCTTATTTTAAATGATTTCCAAAAAACACAGTAGATATAGGTGAGCGACACAGGATCTTGAGAGCCTCTAGTTTTACATTATGTAAATTCCGCTAAAGTAAAAGATGACCAAATGTTTAAATAGATTTAGAAAAAAGTGGCAAATCAGAAATAGGCAGTCTGTCACAATGGACAAAAGTTAAACATTTCTCAACGAGCACAACAAATGGCCTTATTTTTGCTGAAAAAAATAAATAAAAACAATTGTTTCAGAAAGCACCCAACGACAACCAATGTATTATAGCTCTCTGACATGGGACACGCACATAACGAATGTTGAAGGGTTAGATTTGTTTGTGGGAGCATTGTCCTCCTCGAAATATGCAACAGTACAACAAAGGGAGGAAATTGTAGGCATCAGTCACAATCGGTCTAACTATGGCACAAAGCAGAAAAAAGAATAACAAAAAGACAAAAGACACAAAGCAGCAGAGTATACCCGTAGTAGCTGAAAGCTAGTTCAAAGCCAACTAATAAATAATCAAGCTTTACCAGGCTATAATCACTTTTTTGTTGCTACCATGTGGATTGGAACATACAAATCATAGAATACAAACGGTGCAATTATAAATGTTTTCTAGAAGTCTAATAAAAGGTGTTTTTCTTTCCAAATATATGTATCTATTTCTGAGATACTTTACATAAAACAGCAAAGGGGAAATCCGCTTTCTATTAATTACACATGGCAATTATTTTTTATAGAAAAAGAAGACAAAAGTAAAACAAACGTCAGGCTATAATCGTGTTATTACTCCCAAGCCAAGCAGTCATTACATAGTATACTTAGTTAATTGAAATACATTCTTCATTCTTTTCGTCACACACTGAAGTTAAGGTACTTTATATATGAGAAATGGAGAAGTGGTATAGTTTCCAACAAGGCAAATTTACACCAGAGTAAAAATAACATGGATGTAAGCAATTAAAGGTCACCATGTGGCCTTCAAATATGAGCAAAACTTATGCCGTAAAGTCAGCTATAAAAGGCCCCAATATGAAAAAATACGGAGATAAAAAAACCAATTCAAAACTTACAGCCTTATTTATAACCAAAAGCAAGTTTTGAGATATTGGTAAGCACGGGTTTTACTCCAAAGGAGAATTATATAAATTATAACAATTGAAAAATATCCCAATTGATTATTTAATATACTCCTTCAAATCAAATGTAAATCTATTGAAACTAGCATCTTACATTGCATTAACTAATACATGTTCATACAAATAAAATTTTCTGAGATTTCCTATATGATAAAGAGATGTGGTATAATGATACAACTATCCAACAGATTCCAAATGACGCGAATCAAAGTATTTGTAG